TTATCCGTTAACCATTCCCCAATCCACGTTAATATGCTCCCCCCAATTCCATGGGCCCCTATCTTTTGGACTAACCTTTTATGTGGCACCTTATCGAATGCCTTCTGGAAGTCCAAATAGACCACATCCACTGATTCACCCTTATCTAGTTTACTGGAAATATCCTCAAAAAACTCTATGAGATTTGTCAAACATGACTTCCCTTTTGTAAAGCCATGTTGACTTGGCCTAATTATATTGTGCTCCCCTAAATACCGCACTACCACATCCTTAATCAACGATTCTAAAACTTTTCCTATCACTGATGTGAGACTAACTGGCCTATAGTTCCCCATCTTTTCCTTTCCACTTTTTTTAAAAGGATACTCCCATTGAGTTCTCCCCAAAGGAGTCCTCCCAGCTGAGTAAAGATAAAGACAAAATGTCTATCTGTGTGTCAATGTACATTCCATATTGGATCCTTTGGTTGCAAGCGAAGCTGCAATGGGTATTTCTCTATAGTTTTAGATAACACCTTACCTGGTGCCCTTGGATTATTTAATTTCTTTTGATCTTAGCCTTTGTTAGGAGGATCGAGGCTAGCACGCTGAGCAGAGGCAGACTCTCACAAAGCTTTGACTCTACATAAATCTGCACAGATTTCAGGATTCTCAATATGGACTCACAGCGAGGAGCTTTCCAAAGGGTAACTTTGTAAAATCCTATAAATTCTTTTCCTTCAAGAAAAGTCCATCACATAGCACTTAATTGGGTATTGTTCATGTAGCACGCACAATTGGTTGATGTACCACCTGCAATTCGGTGACATCACAGAGATTGTGTGAAGAGAATTGGTGTAGAAATTTGATTCTTTCCGCCAAAGTTTGTCTTCAGTGAAAGGATTCGTTATTAGTAAACGAGCCATAAGGGAGATTAGGAGACATTTTTTCACATAAGGAGTGATAAGGATATGGAACGCCCTGCCGGGAGCAATGGTTGAGGAAGAATCCATATTGGCCTTCAAAAAGGAACAAAATTCAACTGCTCCAAAACTCTACTCACACTATAAACTCCGCACCCCCTCGTACCAGTCCTCACCAGGCTCCACTGGCTGATACTGAACAGATCGACTTCAAGATCCTTCCAGATCATCTATAAATCCCTTCATGTCATAGAACCTCCCTACCTCTCCAACCTGCTTATTCCCCACACCACCACCCTCCAGTTATTGATTTTGGAGGACAGTGTCTCAGAGAGATGCACAGTAGTGGAGTTGGACACTGAGCAAGAGAGAAGGGTGACCAAAGACCAAAGATTTATAGAGGGGGTGAAGCAGAGGGATTGAGGCAAGGAGTTCCATAGATTGAGGGTGACAGAAAGCACAGCCACTGATGGTGGTATAGGTGGAGTCAGTGGGACTGGCTGAGAGAAGTTGGTGGGCAGAGGGGTGGGCTATGGGTTCAGTACTGTTCAGTGGCTGACGGCTAAATGGTTACCAATACCAACTGCTACAGGAAGATGCAGGATCCAGCAGCTGACACACACCGCACTCCCTGAGTGAAGCAGTTATGTGATAGGTGGCTAATCAGTTACTTTGGTGCATGAGGAAATGCACACGGATTATCGGACAGACTTTCCCTTCATTTCCAGCACTTCCAGTACTCTGGGTTTCTGGATTCACAATAAGTGAGCCCCCTATCTTCAGTCAGCAGTGTAACACTAACTGAATTGTCCATACATTCTCACCAAAAAGATTCATTTACAATAACAACTTGCATTTACACAGAGCCTGCACGTGTGGTAGCGTGTCAGCGTACTTAACAGTGGCAGAGCCTGGCGTTGGGCTGGGGGGTGGGAGAGTGACCATTCAAAGAGTACATTCGAAGAGGATGATCGTCAGGTGTGAAAACGGGCAAGGAGGAGGCAAGGCAGAAGGATTGAGGCAGAAAGCTCCAGAGACAGAACTTTCTGTCACTACACTCTCAATCTTTGGAACTCCTTGCCTCAATCCCTCTGCTTCACGTCCTCTATAAATCCCATCTGAAGACCTTCCTATTTGGTCTTTGGTCACCCTTCTCCCTTGGGACGTAATAGCTGAAAGCACAGGGTTGCTGATGGTGGAGGAGAGCCAGCCAAGCGGAAGCGGCAGGAAGTGTAAGCAGGTCAGAGAGGTAAGCACGTACCAGGGCATGAAGTGATTTGTACGCGAGTGTGAGGATCTTAAAGTCAATCTGTTCTGTGCAGGGTTAGATTAAGGGATCGGGGGGACTCTAAGGCAGATCACAGTTGGAGGGCCTTTGAACTATGCAAAGTATGCAACAATACCTTTATAAGATACTTTTTTATGTGACTTTATAGTTGCAAACTGTCAACAACATGATCAAACCTTAATGTATATGTTAACTCTCATTAGACGCATTGTGAGTGCATTCAATCTATCTTGGATCATTGTAGATCGGAATGAGTTTTTGACGATATGCTTTGAGAACGAGCGTTTACCTTCACAGACTGCTATTGGTCATATTAAGAAGATATGAAGAGCAACTGCCAGGTTTGAAAATGTTGATTCCGCCAAGTGGAAGTCCTGGAAATCCTTTGTGGGGTCATGTAGCTTATTGGTAAGTGCACTCACCTTGCCAACAAGAGCACATGGGTTTCATTCCCATCAGAACGAAATGATAGACAAGTTTCCTTACTCCACACGCCTCTGTTTACGTAGAGGAAGGAAGTAGGAACCTGGTCATTAGTTGATTGGCAGATCCCTGTTCTGATGGTAATAATTCCTTCAACATTTTTAAAAAAAGGTATACAGTAACAGTTTGATCACTCAATCGACAACTATTTCTGGGGCATTGCTGTGTGCAATTGGCTGCCGCATTTTGCCAACAAAAAAAAACCATCAATTCACTTTATAATACATTCTGTGAAGCACTTTGAGATATCTCGAAGATTTGATATGGCACTGTAAAATTATTTTTGTGATGTTTCTTTTTTTTAAAGCTTTTAATTAATCTTCATATTCTTTTAGAATGTAACCTACCCATAATCCTTTCATATGGTTGTTCGCTTTGATGACTAGCTAGCTAGCCCTAGCTAGCCCTAGCTAAGGGCCCCCGAGAGGGTACATGTACCAATTAGTATTAACAAAGGTAAAGACCTGACTGAGGTCTGCTTCTGATTACATGTCATATTTTCCTGGGTAGATGTTCACTCCTCTGAGATTTGAGTAATCAGGTCCTTGGGAATAGACGTGGGAACAAAAGACTTCAAAAGAAAAGGCTCAGACACCTGCTTATCTCAAAGCTAAGAAACACACAGGCTGCAGAAGGCTGGCCAAAAGTTGTCCGTCTCTTTCTCTGCAAAACAGCTGCTCAGGGTCACTGGCAGCTTCATTTTCTCAGAGGAAAAATTAGAGACAAAAGCAGGGAAACTTGTAAATCTGTTACAAGGGGAGTTAAAAACACTTAAAAGAGAGATGTAGCATTGGAAACGTCAAAGTCATCGTAGAGGGTCAGCACACTTCCCAGTGGAATTGATATTGATTTTACTGTATCTATGGTCTCAGTTTTAAAAATAAGTTAGGCTATTTGTATTGCTTAATAAACTTTGGATTATTACACAACGGTATTGGTCGCCTCTATCCAAATCTCCTACAACGCTATATCAAATCCAAGTATTATTATTATTATTATTAAGTGATTCTGTTTCATATACTTTAAAATTTCCTTGTAGGGTTTTCTCAAACTTAATTAGTGATATGAAATCCAGAAAATGCACAAATTCATCAACACTGTCTGCGTCAAAAAAAAAAATAATTGCCACTAAGATAAGATCAATTGCTGCTAGACCCGCTCTCCACACTGCCTCTTACTTCATCTGACGTACTGGAGGACTGACTCATACCTCTAGCTCCACCCTTTTTCTGGTCACTCTCCTAGCAGAGTGATGGCAAGAGGTGCAGGCTGTTCTGAGGGGCCCTGGCTAAGGTGTCAATCACACTCAGATCTCAGGGCCTTGAACCATGTCTTATCTAGTTTATTGGTTATTCTAGCCCTGAGTAGCGGAGCCCGACGTTGAGCTGGGAGGATGGGGCAGCTGACTGCAGGCATGATCGAAAAGGAAGATTTGATTAAATGTGATCTGAAGACAGGCAAGGAAGGGGCAAGGCGAAGAGATTGAGGGAGAGAGTAGTGGAGCCTGGCAAAAACTGTATTGATGGGGATGTGGAATTTGGTGCGAGTGAGAACACGGGTGGCAAAATTTTGAAAATTGATTGGATTTTATGAATGATGGAGCTTGGGAGATTAGCGAGGAGAGCATTGGAATAAATAAGGTAGGAGGTGACAAAAGAATGGATGAGGGTATTAGCTGCATAGCATGTGAGTTTTGGTCGGAGGTGGGTGATGTATCGAAGGTGGCGGAACGTCTGGTCGTGGACTGGATGCGGGGTAAGAAGCAAACCTGGGATCGAACCTGATGCCTAGGTTTCGTACAGTCTTAGGGACAGACCAGGAGGTTAAGAATTCAGAGCTGCAGGAGAGAAAACATTAGCGTGAGCCAATGAGGATGGCTTCCATCCAACCAACATTCAGCTGCAGAAAGTCAAATTTAATCCCAGGCTTTATGTCTGACAAGCGAGAGGACAGAACACTGTGGATCAGTGGTCATGGCTGGAGGAGGAGAAGTAGATTTGGGTGTCATGTGGAAGTTTGCGGATGACATCACAGAGGGAGCATGTAAATGAGGAAAAGGAGTGGGACAAGGATAGAGCACTGGGGTACTCCACAGGTGACTATAGAATCATACAATCATACAGCACACAAGGAGGCCATTCAGCCCATCGTGTTTGCGCCGGCTCCAAAAAGAGCAATCCAACTTAATCCCACTGGCCCGCTTTCTTTCCATAGCCCTGCAATCCTGTCCTCCCCAAATACCCATCTACTTCTCTCTTAAAAGTTGTCATTGAATCGGCTTCCACTACCCTTTCAGGTAATGCATTCCAGATCCGAATAACTCGCTGGGTGAAACATTTTTTTCTAACCTCCCTTCTGTTTCTTTTAACAACTAACTTAAATCGGGTCCTCGGGAGGTGGGAAAAGAAACTATTAGCAGAGACATAGTTGGTTAAGCAGGACTTGAACCAGGTGATTGCAGTCCCACTGACATGCAGTGGAGAGGTCTAGGAGGACAAGGTGGCAGAGAGACAGGATGCCTGTTGTGACTTTGATGAGCATTGTCTCTGTGTTGTGGATAGTGCGGAAGCCAGATTAGAGGGGGAATAACTTGGTTACTCAATAACTTGAACTTGTATAGCCTTGCACATAGGAAAATATCTTAAAGAACTTCCCAGAATGTGTGTGGGAGTCAGAGGCTAGGGGCTAAGCAGGCGGTGACAGAAGGCACATTTAAAGAGATAGGTTTGTAGCTGGATTTTGAAAGCATTGTGGAGAGATGTTAGATGGAGGGATTTAGGGCGAGGGCTCCAGAGGCAGAAAGAATATATCTCCCACCGATTGTTGGGGGGGAAGAATTGGGGAATGTGGAGCAGGCCTATGTTAGCAGAGTAGAGGGAGCGGGCTACAGGAGATCACAGAGGTAAGGTGGGGCAAGCTTGGGTGGAAGGGTATTTGAGATTAGAATGAGGATCTGCCAGTGGAGCTTGGGGAGAATGGGGTGAGGGGCTCACAGAGCATGGAGTAAAGAGAATGCAAGCTTCAGAGCTTGGGATGATTTGGAACTTGAAAGCTGGCATGGGAGGTCAGGTCTGGATGTGATGGATGATGGTTTCGGCTGCATTGGGAGTGAGATAGGAACAGAGGTAAGTGATGTTGCGGAGATGGAGGAAATTCGATTTGGTTGACAACCAGAGGAAAGGCTGAGGATTGTACAAAGCACAGAGATTGCACACTGGCTGTCTGGGCTGGAGTCTTTTCTTGGTCAGTCAGGTGTCTGACACATGTGGAAACCCATCACGGTGCTTAAGAGTATCCAAACCAAACTGAGAATTCCATGCATCCCACCTACACATGGAAATTCAAGAGATAGATTGTTGGGATGGGATGTGCACTCTCCCTGGAGGGACGCATCCTACTTATCTAATTCTGGAGAGTATTAGGTGCAGGTTGGCAAGGGCCAAACTTGGAGACCCCAGAGTGTGCACTGGGGTAACGGCTGGACTCTTACCAGTTAAAATGACATAGTTTGTCATTGAGAGCACAATCTGATAGTCCAGCTAGAACCACCCTACCCATAAGGCTTTGGCTTGCAGGGTTAACGGGAGCTGAGTGGAAGATTTCCGTGCCCTAGTGACTAGTCTACCCTCTCAAGTTCTGCCTGGAGTGAGGTTGATCCACTCAGAGCCAGAGGTAAGAAGGTGTTAGTGTGTTTTGTGCAGGATGGTTTTGGGTTTGGTGACATTCAGTTAAATAAAGTATTGGGTCATCCAGGAGTTGATGTCTGGGCGGGAGTCTGTCAGTTCAGCAGTGGTCCTGCAGTCAGAGAATGAAAGTTCAAAACAATAAGACAATACTAAGAGGGAGTCTAATCTTCGGGGAAAATCTGAATAATCTTTGCATAAACCAGTCCATATCATGTTGTTAAGGTCCTTAAAGTCTTTTCTTAATCTGTTGTGCTTCAATAAGCACAGCCCCAGCGTTTTAAGATGTTCCAAGATCTGGAACACAATCTCTATTCAAAATTTCCAAATGACTCTTTCACCTGAGGTTACTTAACATAACAATGACACAGAACAGGGCATCTCAATTTAGGAGGAACTACTTTATGCAACAGGGAATGAGTTTGTAGAACTTGTTGTTTGAAGCAGTGGTTGAATCAGATAGTATAGATGCATGCAAGAGGAAGTGAGACCTTCACATGAAGGAGAGGGGAATAGAAAGGTTTGGGAGGGAGTAAGGAATGGATGGTGTTTACGTGTAGAGTATAAACACCAAAAGGAATAGTTGGGCCAAGTGGTCTGTTTCCGTGCTGTACTGTCTTTGTAAATCTTTGTGCAGGGATGTCTTTGCTCTGTTATTTAGATATCACTGAGGACCAAAGCAGTGTGGAGAACCACCAGTCTCACTGGTTGGTTAGAGGCCAGGGAGAAGTGGCTGCAACCAAGTCTATCCCATGCCAACCTCAAACCGGGAATCAGACATTACAAACTGATGGGCACACGGTGAATGCCCACTGAATACTGACATCTGGATGACTCCACTCATCTGTGGCGCTTTGCAGGTTAACTTCCTTTGCAAAAATAGGGCAGACCCTGTTACCTGGGCATTCACTCATTCCAGTTACCAACTGAGGGAGGGTGGTAATAAAAGCGAACAGAATAGCAAGGGATCTGGAAAGTCTGGATTGAGGAATAACAGTCCTTCAGTGTTGAGAAATGTAAGGTGATGAGACTAGGATGGAGGCATAAGGATCTGGACCTACCAGTTGATAGCTGATTGAAAGCATCAGTGGCCAGAGGGATAGCATACACGGTATGTCACAGTACCTTATAATAGAGTTGTACAAAGGTGTGATACTTTAATGGGTTACGTAAAGTTCTGGGATATGCTAAGAATGATCATATTTTGTAAAACAAATCCAGGAACGCATAATTTTTAGTAGGAAATAAAGAGAAATCTGTTCCAGGAAGAATTTCTTCCTTCAGAGTAATCAGAGGCCGCAGGGTGGCTGGGTCTAGGACACTGGGATTAATTCTGTAATATTATTCGAAAAGAGAAGGGAGTTTCTCTTTCCTGTTGTCCTGACCAACAATACCCCCAAATAAAATTGGTCACTCACTCCATGGTTGTTAGTGGGAAATTGCTGTGTGCTTTGTGTTTCCTCACAAAACACACAGTCACTCCACTGCGTGTGAATATCCTGTGTATTCGAGTCGTTGCTTCACAACTTCGCCCGTTCCTCTCCCTCAACTCTCTATACGAACCCCTGCAATTGGGTTCCGGGCTACCCAAAGCCAGAAACACCCCTGATCAAGGTGGCAAATTAGATTCTTCCACCAGGGGAAACAGACCCTCAGTGTCTACTTTATCCAGCCCTTTAAGAATCTTATATGTTTCAATAAGATCTCCCCTAATTCTTCTGTACTCTTGGGACCACTGCTCTTCTTAATATACATAAATGATTTGGACTCGGGTATACCAAGCACCATTTCCAAGTTTGCGGACGACACAAAGTTAGGTAGGGGGGTAAACAGGGAGAAGGATAGAAGCCAACTGCAGGAAGACATAGACAGAATGGTAAAATGGGCAGACACATGGCAGATGAGTTTCAATTTAGAGAAATGCGAAGTAATGGATTTTGGTAGAAAAAACGAAGGGAGGCAATATAGGCTGGTAATACAACCTTAAGGCGGGTAAAAGAACAGAGAGTCCTGGGGGTGCAGGTAAATGAATGATGATAAGGCTGTAGAAAGGGCAAATGGGATTCTAGGCTTTATAAATAGGGGCATAGAGTACAAGAGTCAGGAGATTATGATTAACCTATATAAAACACTGGTTAGGCCTCAGTTAGAATACTGAGCCCAGTTCTGGGCTCCACACTATAGGAAGGATGTTAAGGCAATGGAAAGGGTACAGAGGAGATTTACGAGGATGGTACCAGGAATGAGGGACCTTGATTATGAGGAAAGGCAAGAGAGGTTAGGATTATTCTCATTGGAGCAGAGAAGGTTACGAGGAGACCTAATAGAGGTTTTCAAAATTATGAGGGGATTTGATAGGTTGGAAAGGGAAAAACTGTTCCCACTGGTGGGTGTGTCGGTGACTCGAGATCACAGATTTAAAATAGTTTCTAAAAGAAGCAGAGGAGAGGTGAGAATTTTTTTTTCACGCAGCAAGTTGTTCAAATCTGGAACACATTGCTTGAAAGGGTGGTGGAGGCCGATTCGATAACTACTTTTAAAAACGCGGTGGATGGGTATTTGAGGAGGGTGGGTTTGCAGGGTTATAGGGAAAGGGCTGGGGAGTGGGATTGACATTAATTGCTCTATTCAAAGAGCCGGCACAACCTCGATGGGCCGAATGGTCTCTTTTTGTGCAGTACGATTTTGTGATTCTATGATTCAGAGGACACAGATTTAAGATAGTTGTCAAAATGGGGAGAACGCGGGGGAGTGGGATTAATTTGGATAGCTCTTTTAAGAGCTGTCGAAATAATATTATTATATTAGTATTAATATACTTCGGGCTGTCTTCTTACTGTAAAGGCACTAGAGGGCACTGTTCCATTATTTTTATATGATGTTGGCACACATAGAAATATAGACGAGCCTGCATAATAACGATAAAAGAAAGGTCAAGGGTTAAAGGATATGCAACACATTGAAAATCCTGTCGTGTAGAGTCTCACTGAGAGTGTCTGTAGTGTACAATCACAATCTTTTCCCTATGACAAATGTACTACTAGTGCCATGAGCAGCAATACATCATCTTGCAGTATTTGTGTGCTGTGCTAATGTAGCATGCCCTGGTTTCCATGATTTGATCACAAACAATTCTGCTCAGGTCATTGCATGACTGCTCTATTTGACATTCACACTATTTTCTAGATTTTTGCTCCCATTCCTATTTTTTGCTTTTTGGTATTGAACTGTTATCATGGGTTGGCTCAGTTTCCTATTTATGTCCTCAGTAGCAAAAATCATAGAAATCATGAACTTAGTATCAGGTGCAATGCTAGTGTAGACCGATAGGTGGCACTCTCGCTTCTAGGTCACGATCCTGTGAGTTAAAGGGACTTTATCATATTTTATAAATTTATTATGCTTTTTTTGGTTGCAGGGTATCTGATATATGGAGAAACGTATCATTGTGCTTCAGAGTATCCAAACTAGACTGAGTTCCACATATACTTTTTTGTTTTCTGACCAGAGGGAAGTGTTCAATGGTGACCCTACGGGTTGGTATTGGACCACTGCTCTTTTTGATCTGTATATAAATGATCTGGACTTGAGTATAGGGAGTGCAATTCCCAAGTTTGCAGAAGATACTAAGCTAGGAAAAGTAATAAGTAGCGAGGAGGATAATAGCAGACTGCAAGAGGACATAGACAGACTGGTAAAAAGGGCAGACATGTGGCAGATCAAGTTTAATGTGGAGAAATGCAAAGTGATGCATTTCGGAGGAAGAATGAGGAGAGACAATATAAGCCGATGGTACAATCTTAAAGGGGATGAAGGAACTGAGAGACCTGGGGATTCATATAAGCAAATCTTTGAAGGTGACATGACAGGTGTTAGAATGCTGTTAGAAAACCATACGGGATACTAGGCTTTATAAATAGGGGCATAGAATACAGAAGTCAGGAAATTATGATGAACCTGGTTAGGCATCAGCTAGATACTGAGGTTAATTCTGGGCACCACACTTTAGGAAGGATGTCAAGCCATTGGAGAGGGTGCAACGGAGATTTGCCAGGATGGTACCCAGAATGAGGGACTTCAGTTATCAGGAGAGGCGAGAGAAGCGAGGATTATTCTCCTTGGAGCAGAGAAAGTTAAGAGGAGACTTAATAGAGGATTTCGAAATTATGAGGGGATTCAATAGGGTGAACAGGGAGAAACTATTTCCGCTGGCGGGTTGGTCAGTAACCTGAGGACACCGATCTAAAATAGTTGTTGAAAGAAACAGAGGGGAGGTGAGGAGAAATGTTTTCATACAGCGAGTTGTTCGGATCTGGAATGCATTGTCTGAAAGGGTGGTGGAAGCCGATTCAATAACAACTTTTAAGAACGTAGTAGATAATTATTTAGGAGGGACAAGTTTGCAGGGCTATGGGGGAATAGGATTGATTTGGACAGCTCTT